ATCTTGGTTTGGTGGACCATTACAGGAAGGAATTCGTTGCTGTGCTTGATGTGCAAATAAATGCACTAAAGGCAAACCTGGAGGCTGTGACGAACATTCTACAGCTGGTCATGACCTTGCTTCAGCCGCTTGATGAAAATATGAAGGTGTTTATTATTACAAGTGATCAGGTCACATGAATTTATATGCGTCGTGCCGTCGTGGATCAGTCATTCATAGACCATAGTCATATAACAAATTTCGACTGTCGGTCTCATTTGAAGATACACACCCCCCCCAGCCAAAATTGATATGTACGCCCCTGTATAAAAGAGGCTTTACAAATGCACAACTTCTACCTGTTTATAATTTTCTTGTATGATTGCATGGCGACTTTAGTAATTGTGGTGTTCTACCTGTTTGTTCTTCAGACTCATCCATATTAATTAACGATTTCAATATGTAAATTTGTAAAAGAAGCTCAGATATTTATTATAATGGCGTCCACTCCAAGCAGGGTCGTGCCCACGATATCTCTCTGAAATCTGTTCAGCGTTTATCATGATAAAAATTAAGGCAATACCTTAATTTGAGAGGCTTTTGACAATTAAGATATAAGCTTAATTTTGGAATGAGATGTTGATTTGACATATACCTATAATAGGTATTCTTAGAGTGAGGATGTGAGGATGTGTTGAAAAATAATATGGTAATTACAGCTGATAATATATTTAATGATTGCAGGCTCAAGGGGCTTTAGTCATTTAGTCGATCCTAGTGCCTTCCTTTCGGCAAATATTTTCTCCGCATTTCATCTAAAAAGTCTCTTTTTCACTGTTCAACAAGTTGAATGGAGAAGTGTTTTCTTGCTCTACTTATGTTGCTGTGAATGGCCTAATTCACCTATCGGGATATTAATTTTTACCTCAGGTAAGCCGGTTTTCATAACATTTTCGTTTTTCGCCTTTGGTATAGACAACTACCAAAGCGTCTGTTGCAGTAATTCCTTTGAAATTAATGTTAAAAACGGCAAATATGCTTCCGCCTTTTTGATCAATGGTACATGACTTAGTTACGCTATGAAAAACTATATTTTATGAAAAAAGATGAATAACTGATCTTTTGAGTTTTGGTTATGTTGTTTTTTTGAATAGAACTCTTATGGGATTTGAAAAAGGCAGGCACTGGAGCTATGAGCTTTCACTCATATTTAATGCCAATTCATGAGTATTTTCATTCAAACAATTAAGTTAAATCAATATTCAATCCTCCATTCCTCCCAGTGAATCTACTAGTCTCTCTATTGATCCTTAGTCTGTTTTAGATGAATTTAAAACATTAAACATGATGACTGTGTGAGTGCTGATACAAAATATTTCACTGTTAGATTTCAACAGTGTTTGCTGAAAGTCTAGTATGTTATCTTGTTTGCCTTGTCAAATGCCATGTGAATAATCATGGCTTGATAGACTTCTTGGCATCTTGCACCTTGTTAATCAAGCTACAAGCTTTATTCAAGCTTGTTAATTTACAATGATTTCTACTTCTCTCTGGTTCTGCCCTCTGGGTGTACTCTATTGAGTACAGTTAAACTTGGTCTGATCTCTCTTTTTTAGGATAAAGATGTTATGGAATTTGGGGATGGCTTTTTGCAAATTACTGGAACATTAAACTGTTGATTTTACCATTTTGACTTTGTTAGTTATAGTTACAATAGTTATTTAAATGGAAAATAAATTTATACAGACATGCATTGACTGAGCAGTTTGTTTTCAATTTGCAGCAACTTTTATAATTTTCTGAAAAGTTTTACCCTCCCTACCATTACAAGGAATATTATAATAGGGCTAATCAGGAATTGAAGGTTAATAGCTAGATTATAGACTAATGGAGGAATGAATATAGGCTCAGTTGCATTTTCATTAATTCATAAGACATTTGTTGATAGCACAACTAGTTCCATAATCTTCTTGGTACCATATATAATCAAATTTTTGTTATTTACCATGGCCTTTCTTTGCATTATCTGGAATATGATTCCACTCAAATCCTTGAGTCAAGCAGGGAACCATTTGAAAGTGCATTACTTGGGATACAGTAAGATATGGGTAACTTATTGGTAAAGACACATGCCAGGAAGACTAACTGCGACACGTAAGGAGATTTCCTTTTAATTTTAAGTATTTAAATTCTGAAAATCACAAATTTACAAAGATTACATACTTAAACATTCCAATCATATTTTACAAGTACAATGGTTATACGCGATAATAAAGTTCACTTAAATCAACTATAAATCAACTAATAAAACAAATAATATACGAGAAGTTCACGAACTTATAAACTATAGCGTTGGTATACCTGATGGGTGAATCTCCTCACGCTCGAACCAATTTCTTTCAAATATTCAGTCTCTCTAGAGGCTATGGCGTTCCGGTATGGACAAAATTATGACAGTTCGAACTACAATATCAAAGTCAATAATAAAATATGAAAGTTCATAATGCAAATACGAAACCGCAGACACAATATGATAGTCATACACAGCCAATATTAAAACACGTGTGATAAAAACCAAACAGAACGAAATAAATATCAAACTTGCACACAAAATATCAAAATCGCACACAAAATATCAAAATAGCACACAAAATATCAAAATCGCACACACAATATCAAAATAGCACACAAAATAATTCACAATATCAAAATAGCAAACAAAATATCAAAATAGCACACAAAATATCAAAATAGCATACACAATATCAAAATCGCACACAAAATATCAAAAGAGTGATAGATAAAAATAGCACATAAAATTTAAAACTATAGTTTGCACAGAAAATATGAATACGGGAACGCAAAATATCAAATTAATAGGACGATATGGACGAAGAGGTACGTGACGTAACCTCATTTCGAAACCGGAAACGTAAAAAGCAAGAATATCCGGTTTCTATAAAATAGGATTTTGCAATGGCAAACAGAAATCTAAGAGGTTTTCATGTTACAGAATTTTTTAGATCATTACAAAATATACTAACACTTTCCGTAGAAAATAGATCATTTGATTCTGCTGAGTATTTCCTGCGACGGCTTGACGAATTAGAAAGAACTTTAAACGTGCTTTTTCAGAGAATCCGCGAAGCATATCCAAGGGAATATCAACTGGTGTCGGACTTGAGAGGGTTATTAGAGATCGTAAGTCAAAGAAGGCAGTACTTCTATGCGCTGTCATTCCGTAGTGTATTTGATGAAGATGAACAGAATACAAGATCAGTGACAATTAGTGTGAGTAGGTCAGGCGAAGCTGGCCGACCCAGGCTTGACATTTCGGAGAATATTCTCCAATGTCTCCATAATGGAGCTGGGTTTCGTTGGGCGGAAATTGCGCGAAGTTTGGGGGTATCTGAAAGAACTTTGAGGCGACGGCGACAACAGTATGGCATGAGCACTGGTGCGAATGGGGACTTTTCAAATGTGCAAGATGTGCAGCTCGATCAATTAGTAAGACAAATTTTGCATATCACTCCAGGTATTGGGTACAGATTGGTGCAAGGAGCCCTCCGCCAGCGCGGAGTTCGGATTCAGAGATGGCGCGTTCTTCAGTCATTGCGAAGAATTGATCCAGTTACTGCAACATTACGCGCATCTAGAACCATAATTCGTCGTAGATATTCAGTTCCTTGTCCAAATGCATTATGGTAAGTTTGGGTATATTTTTGCTTAAGTCACTGTATGTGCGGGTTTTGTAGCACGTAGAGAGGACGTGCGACTAATATGGGTGATAATTGTGAACCAATTGTCGCATAGTTTAACCACACTCACTTCCATGGTTGTCTGAAAAATTAATAAATAAACCCTGGTTCACACGTGTCCTAATTTGGATAAGGTACTAGCAATTTTACATGCTTACTATACATTATAGTTTTTATTCATTACTTCATGGTCAAATCTATAGGCACTTGGATGGAAACCACAAATTGATACAGCCGTATCGCTTTGTCATCCATGGAGGTATAGACGGATATTCCAGATTAATAGTTTTCTTAAGAGCGTCAAATAACAACAGAGCATCAACCGTCTTCAGTGCTTTTCAAGAGGCTGTCACACAGTATAACATTCCCTCTCGTGTGCGAACAGATCTTGGATTAGAAAATATCCAAGTAGCGAGGTTTATGGTAAATACACGGGGTGTAAATCGCGGTAGCATTATCACAGGAACATCAGTTCATAACCAACGAATAGAAAGACTATGGCGTGAAGTAAACAGTATTGTTTGCTTGCGATTTCAAGACATTTTTGTTGCTCTTGAAAGAATGGGCTTTGACACAACGAACGAGAATCATTTGTTTGCATTACAAGTAGCATATCTTCCCATGATTAATGAAGCCCTAGAGCAACTGAGATTGAGCTGGAATTGTCATCCTCTAAGCTCGGAGAATAACCTAACACCAAGACAACTGTGGGTTCATGGAATGCTTCATTCAGCGGACTCTGGGCACACAGCAACAGAGAGTGTATTAAACGATGATCAAATTGATTTGGCCAACTATGGGATAGATGAGGATGGCCCTCTACCTGAGGAGCAGATAAATTATGCTGTTAATGTTCCTCCTCCGCCCTTTGAATTACAAGAAGAAGAATTGCAACAGCTTGAAATTGCTAGGCAAAATGCGCAAGCATATGGTGATCCTGACGGCATTATCTCATTCTTTTCAGTACTTCATTTACTAGAACAGCTTTTAGAATAAGAAATCCACGTTACAAGAGTATCTTGAAAAAAGCATTTGTAAATACAATAATGTCGATACCAAATTAAACCTGTAGGTCATCATTAACTAAATTCAATGCTATATATATAAGATTAAAGCAATCCTAAATGTACAGTAATCGCAGTATGCATATTCCAGGATAGTTTGTAATAACATGAAGGTTTGATATAAAACAATTGTGATTTGGTTGTCATACTTGCGAGTACAAAAATCACGCATGCAAGATTGTAAACTTTTTAGCCGTTTGTAAAAAAATATGCATAATGTTTTTTGCAATTTATGTTGTTTTGAAAAAAACCCATGAATTCTACGCATTCAAACCTTCATTTCTTGCAGCCTATCATCTCTATGCATGAATGGTTTTATGCTAACGAAAAGAAAACAACTCGTTTCAAATACGCGCCGCGGGTCTCTCCCATGCGTGTATATACGCAATGCAGGCGTTATATTAATTAACAAAACAGGAAAAAAAATGTTCACGTGTGAGTGTACAAACTGGATGTTACAAAGTGTTTCAGCATCATAGCAGGAAATCACACAATTCCAAATCCCATTTTCTGTATTGCAAGAGCTGAATCAAGACTTCTCTTCAGTTCGGCGAAAGAACATACGAGTCCTGGTAATTCAAGTTCTTGAGGACATGTATTTGCATTTGGATAAGTTGATTCATTCTGTAATATGGTAATGACTGAAGGGTTATGGAACCCCATGGGAGGAATTGTGGCACATCCAGTCGAAAACATCAATAAATCGCTAAGAGTCTCGTCTAAAAAAGCATAATAAACAATGCAATTACATCTTCAATGGAATAAATAATGCAAATTATAAAGGAACTGCCATAACTTGACACAAGAATTTGTAGGCATGGCGACCAAGGGCCGGTTGTATGATAGCCCGATAGCTGCTATCCACCGGATAGTGATTTTTTCAATCGCTTTAAAATCGCCCGTTGTTGGGTATAACTTTGAATAAATCTTATTATTCTTAAATTGAGGTTCCTCTTTAACAACAGTTAGTTCCAAAGCTAAAATTTTATCGCGATTCAAGCCTTTTTAGAACGGTTAAAAAAAATCACTATCCGGCGGATAGCGCTATCCGGCTTTCATACAACCGGCCCCAAATTTGTAGATCATATCCCGTTTGAATGTAGGCCATACTCGTAGCTTTTAAATTAAAAACAAGAAAATAATTTAAAATGTGAGTATGTGTGAACTTTTACTAATCCGTGCCGTACCAAATATCGCAGGTACCAACTGTACCATAGCATGATAGCAACTTTTAAGTTGTTATAAATACCAAATATAACAGGGCTTAAGTTGCTATCATGCTATGGTACAGTTTTATTGCATCCGGACCTTGCAGCCGGTAAATAACACACACATATACACCACACAAAATTCAATAGTTATTATGAACATAAATTAATCATGACTTACTATCCGACGTAGTCAAATACTCTTTAAAATATTCTACAATGCTCGATTCCACATCAACAAATTCCATAATTGAAAGCAATTCCTCTGATGTGGGCAGTTTTGCTTCTCCCCTCAAGAGAAAACATTCAGTTTTGACCGGATATTTCTTGATGACCGTATGCAGCGGCCCAAGTCCCCTTATAAACTGATCAAGCTCTGCTTTCCTTGAGAGCAAAACATTATGCAGACACAAGGACGTTATTGCATGGTAAACGTTTTCTGTGGATAACTTGTGCGGAAATCCGGAATCGATTATCAGTGGCTCAACCTCGCGAGCTATTTTTGTGAATGTGTCAGGAGTGATTGCATCGAGCTACCAAATAATAAAATAATTTGATGAGAAACAAAGATCCACATCAAAAACTGTTAGAGTAGTTCTCTCTTTATGAAATATACTTAATTTTCTTATATATTAACAAATATTTGCAATAATCTCGAACGGAACTGAAAAAGAAATTTCGTCAAAGTTAACACATAGCCTCCTCCGCAGCCTAATAAATGCCTAATAAATTTGCCTATAATAAATTCCTAATATAAATACATAAGAGGTGACTGCGTAGAAGGCTAGGCAACATTGCCAAACACGGTTTTTTTCCATCATGCAATACTGACTGAACTTGTTTTATAGCACTAACGCGGGTTTGCCTTATGTCATTGTCTTTACTCGCTTTGTTGTAAAGAGAATTTATTGCACTAAAGCGAGGCTCTGTAAATTGTGACAGACAAAGATAATAATAGCATAAGCGAAAAGTCCGAATATTAAGTTCTATTGTAATTGTATGTAAATAGTTCGCACCTTATTTATTGCTTCAATGACTTCAAAATCAACCACATCATCTTTGGAGATGTATTCTGTGACAAGATTAGTATCTTGACATTGAATATACTTCCAAACAGCTGTAGAGAAATGAGGAAAACCTGGGCCCCCATTCATGATTGATGCAGCTACCATTCGGCCAACAACTTCAAATAATTTTGATCGCAACGCGTCTGTATTATGCAAAGGAAGATAGTTTCCACCATTTCCTTCAAATAAACGTACAACCGAATCTGGAGAAAGAAGCTCTCTCAAGAGAAGGGTGAAAAATTCCCGCTTTGGACCGCCCCCGTCGATTGCTGGTTCCCCTTCGAACGTTACCATAACAGGGACACTGATATCAAAATTTCTCTGCTTAAGAACAGCGATGCTGTCTGGTAATATTGTATTCCTGTTGACGACAAAACGCCTTGGCGGACCTGTAGACTTCGGAATGACACCTCTTATCAATTCATTCAGTGAACTTTCAGGGGATAATTCGCTCTCTTTGTTATCATCCCCTTAGAAAAAGAAAATGTTTGACCACTAGAAAGATTATGAAATCTTCATGCAGTTTATCAAGTAACAGTACAGCAGGTAAGTAACAGTACAGCAGATAAGTACTTACACCTCTTGTAATGTGTTACACCTATGGAATTATAGAAATATATTTCCTGCATTTTGAAATTGAAAGTAATGGTGTAAGTATAAGTTACAAACCTGCAATCTCAGAAACCCCGGTCTGTTGGACGACATAATCTACTGCCTCTCCTAAATTTGCACTTTTTTCAATCGCTGCGTTCAGTACTTCATCAGAAGACATTGGGAACATTTCTTTCAACCTTTCTATCTCGAAATCAAATAGTTGGCACGTACTGGAAGAGCATCCTTTGTCTTCATCATCAATTGTCATTGAAACGATTGAACTTGTCGACGGCTGGTCAGAAATAAAAGCATATTGTCGAATATCTTCACCAGTTTTTGTTTCTCCAACAGCAAAATCTTCACCTTCAGATAGATCCTTAAAAATGACAAGTAAAAATTATGAATGTAATAACATAGTACAGCGCATCTTACGTTGATAATCAACCGAAGTTGAGTAGATTTCGAAACCTTCGGGGGCGCGGCGCATTTGATTGCAAATGGCAGTTTTGGGCGCAATACATCAATTGCAATGGCATGAGGGAAATACAGGATAGAAAGAGACTAAGGGGGAAAAAGAAGTCAATTACAATTCCATATTAAAAGACACCTGCCTTCTAAAAGAATACCTGCAACCAGAGAGGCCTAATTTAATTTGGCAAGGGCACAAGTTTACTTACATCTTCAATTTCATTTTGATTAAAGTCGTCAATATTTGCGCATGCTCTGATATATATTGGGCCATTGCCAGCAATATGTTTTATAGTTTTGCCATTAACCTCGTTCCCTTCAGGCAGTTTGACTTTTGTGATAGTGTTTCCCACTGCCTTAACAAATTCAAAACTAGAAGAAAAAATAAACAATATATTTTTCAATTCACAATGTTATTGGAAAGCCATAATTCAAGCGTATAAATAAACATCTCTATAAACTAACAATTAAAACAGACAGAAATTTTGAGAAGTTGTATCTTCTACAATAACTTTACCTAAAAAGGTGAAGGTTTATATTAGGTTAAGACCGTAATTTAAAACTAGACAAATAACCTACAAGAAACCCCACAAAAAATATACGGTGGTCACCGGCAGATACAATCGTCCTTTTACTTTCAACTACGCTACTTACTCGTTGACTGTCTTCAAATGTTCTTTAAATAAGATCAATATTTCATTTTTCAACTTTTCCTCTGACCAAGTCTTATTAAGAGTCCATGCATCAATGAACATGTTGTTACGAACTAAATTTTGTTTTTTGTCCCTTCTTGGAACATCAGCCCACGAGGGACTCGGTAAAAGGCACACGTCTTTCAATATAAAATCAAGTTGCGAGTTTGAAGTCTTTTTTTCTTTTCCTTTCTTCGCTTTTCTACCGCTGTAAGGTGTAAATCGCCCATTTCTTGATCTCGGAACAATTGGTTCCTGACCGCTTGTTGTTCTCGGAAGACGAAAAGCGTCGTTGACTTCTTGTTCAGGCGTTCTTGTGGAGCTTTGATTACCGATGGTATTCGCTGCATTTTGACATGCTTGTGTATTCGGGTCTAAATTATTTATTGAGGTCACAACTCTCCGAACTATTTCTGCTATGTTATTGACTCCCGCCATATTGTGCAGAATAAAACGACGTAAACAACACGGGCTTGCTGCCTTGCTCTTCCCGAGCGTGTAAAATGGAAAATACAGTAATAGTTACCGGAAACCGGATATAGTTGCGCCTTCCGTTTCCGGAAGTGAATGTACTCACTGCATTGTGTGTGCGATTTTGATATTGTGTGTGCGATTTTGATATTGTGTGTGCGATTTTGATATTTTGTCTGCTATTTTGATATTTTGTGTGCTATTTTGATATTGTGTGTGCGATTTTGATATTTTGTGTGCTATTTTGATATTGTGTGTGCGATTTTGATATTTTGTGTGCTATTTTGATATTTTGTGTGCGATTTTGATATTTTGTGTGCAAGTTTGATATTTATTTCGTTCTGTTTGGTTTTTATCACACGTGTTTTAATATTGGCTGTGTATGACTATCATATTGTGTCTGCGGTTTCGTATTTGCATTATGAACTTTCATATTTTATTATTGACTTTGATATTGTAGTTCGAACTGTCATAATTTTGTCCATACCGGAACGCCATAAGAGGCGCGTCTACCTCAGCCTAACTTTCTCCCTTTATCTCTCAAATTACAAAATGACGCGCGGTTACTATGGGCGACTATTAGTTAATTTTTGCTAACACAACAGTGATAATTATTTAAATGTTCATATTAATTAAAATCCTTCGTCCACAATTTTTTTTACGTTTTAATATTTATTATTTCTGGCATTGGCAAAACAGCGTCAACGTTCCTTAGGAGCGTTTATTAGGAGCCGGTCCTCCAGGAATTATTATATAGCTCAGTGCCTGGGAACGGGGTTGGAACAGTGAACTATAAATGAGGTTATTCAATAACCAAAGTTAATAGCGAGGAAACCACGCGTGATCCGGAAGTTAGGTGTTCCTGTCGAGGTGCGCTGCGTCAGCCCACGTGTTATATTGCGTGCTTGCTCGCGTTGCGGTCATTAGTTGCTCGGCACGCAAAGTGTAACAAGTTTAACAAAAAGTTTAAAAACCCGCCGTCCCACCCTGTTCAAGAAAGGTAAGCAGCATTAGTTACCACCAATTACATTGGTGTGATGGGTGCAAGCTATCCGAGTGTGGTTGGCAGTTCAAGCACCCGATGCACACGTAATTATACGCTTATTAACATATCAAATTGAAACGTAATTGGCGCATATATGCGGTGATAGTAGGTATCAGACACCTAACAGCATATACTGAGTAACAAGGTACCAGACTACCTCTATGTCGATTGTCGAGTTGATCTGACTTCGCGCCATTTTGTGTGTTAATAGTCGGGGAACAACGATCTGAATTAGATATCTTCTTCGATTTTCTACAGCTTTCGAGGTGATCTTTATACGGTAGTTGTTGGGAAATCTCATTAATATTTATAAGAGTTTTAATATTCAAATTGAGCTATGGAATACGAAAGAAGCAGCGACGGCGGGAATGGTAATGGTCAAGGTCGATTGATCATTGACGAAGAAAAGCTTGCCATTTTAAAGTCTTTCTTCATAAGCAGAAATATGGACTCAACCAAGAAGCAGAACCTCGCTGTTATAAAAGAATGTGCAAACCAAACAATGCTCACAGAACAACAAGTGAAGGTGATAATAAATAATATTGTTTAAAGTACAGTAAACATAAATAGATGCTGCCTATTATAAATACATAATTAGTTGCTGTGGTTTAATGTATTGTGTTAAAAGCCCCCGAGTTAGTTTTGTTATGTGGCTAAATTTATAGTTGTTTGTGTGTATATCAGTCCAACAGTATTGATTATTGAATTTTAATGTACTGTAAACTTTAAAATGTGCATGGTTGACACTCATGGAAAGAATTCCTCAACATATAGTAACACATTTTTAAAGCTGCAAAACTCATCCTTTGATAAATAAAATTGTCAGGCATAAAGAATAAAAGATTAAAATCTAATGCATTTGGCTGTGTTGCTGCTCGATAATAGTTTTGGTAGCAGACTAACAGATAAAAGCTCAATACTAAACATTATCAGAGCAATATAATTATATATAAAAGTAATTGCCAGGATCTAGACCAAGGTTCTGCTGTTCATTGTATATTGTCAGAAGAACTGTTTGATTGAGAGCCAGTCACTCAAATTAGTATGTTTACATTGTATTAAACCTCTAACTGTAAGTCCTGCACCTATGAAGTTTGTAAGGCAGTTTTTAGTGGGCTTTCACATGCAGGGAAAGCATTGGTAACATGTGTTCAGAAAATCAAACATTAACATGTTCATGCAGCTATTGTTTCAATATACCTGTAAATAGTGGACTTATGGTCGGGGGACTTATATTTGGAATGGTGTATAAACACTAGAAATGTGATAGGCTTACACAGAGGGCTTATAAGGGGGGTTTGTGATGGGAGGTTTATGGTATTTGATTTTGAAAAGGTTATCCCGAGATGGCAGCCCCTGCTTAGGCCCACTCTAAATAACTATAGTCCTGTGATTATGTGAGGTTTAAACTGAAGCATCCATGTGATGTACTATGGGAACTTTTAAATATAAACTGTGGAGCTGGTTGATGATTGGTTAACATAAATAAACTATTAATGTTGATATTTGGCACTACTACAAATTACTAAAGAATATCATTTGCCATATCTCTGGTTTCACAGTGAAGTGATTAGTTAGGGAATACCTTGGATGCTCTAACTAATATGTCTATTTGCCCTAACTAATATGTCAATATCAGTTTTGGCATCCAAGATATTTGAAAAGACTTCTGTAAATGAACATGATTCTTAAATAGTTTTTATGTTAATTGTATAAAACTGAATATGCACTGTAATTTTATCTTAAGTATTTAGAATATCTTCTCTGTTGTTTTTTTCTGCTGAAATGGTAATATTTCTCAAATGTGAGGGATAAAATATCTTTATACAGTACCTACACTCTTTTAGTGATAAAACCAAACATTAACTCATTTAATAGCCATGTGCAGGTCCTACACCAAGATATGCATGGCTATTGCATTTTAAAACCTATCAAAGTCAAACTCATCAATTAATTAATAATTATGCTCTAACTACATGTTGTGGCATATTATGTTACATACTATCTTATGCAATCTGGGTGATTTTACCCAATTTAACCTATTAGGTAATTGGCATTTTCTGTACTGTTATTAGTTGATTTACCTTTTATTCATTGTGTAGTTGGTGGTATAGGGAAGCATGGGTGGCATTATGAGGCTAGCATGTTGCCTTTTACCAATGGTTAAAACTGTTGATGGAAGGTAGTACTTGGATCGCTCATCTCTAGGAAAAACCCCAGACCATCAGAGATGGTAGAGTTACATAGTTGATCTCTCCTGTGCTTTGAGGGATGTTATCTGGGTGCTGTATTATTAATAATATTGTTAGCCCATTGACTTTCAAAACATTTGAAAATTTTCTTGTGGGGCATTCGTTCACCCTAATATCAGACGATTTTACTTGTCATGGAAAGAGTCATGCCATTTAATCGTTGAATTATCTACTGTATGCCTTAGGTATGCATAAATTGTTCAATTCACATACTTATACATTTACATTGAAGCACGTTAACTTGCAGTTGCTTGACTTTCATATTAACTCGAGGTAATGTTGCTCTAAAATAATAAATTGCCATTATGAACAGTATTTACTATATTTTATGTTAATTACAGCACTGGATAAGTAATTATAGGGCAAAAACGAGTGGACGGATATCAGGAAAAGTAGGAAAAAGCAGATTAATGAGAAAAAGATCTGGCTTTAATGTATTTGCCAGTGAGAACCTATTCAAAGGTAACGTTTTAAAATATAGTAAATTGGAAATACCTGCTCATTTATTATGTAATAATTAAATCTATGCAAAACCATCCATAATATTCCATGTAAGTTGTGTAGTTACAGTACTTTTTCAGAATTCTTTATTGTATAATTTAATACTTTATCTCTTATTTTGTAGAAAGCAGTGGATCTTCCTCTAATGCCTTCAAAAACATTGGTGACAAATGGAGAAGCCTTTCAGATGAACAAAAAGACACCTTTAGAAGAAAAGCATTGGAATCAGATAAAGATGTTTGCCTTCCTTCCAACAATGCCAAGGCTAAAAAAATAATAAACAATATGATGAAAGAGGTACAGTAAATCGTACGATAAAATGTAGAGTCGTGTCTCTATTGTTATGTAATTACTTATTTCATTTCACAAATTTATTTATATTGAAACCTTCATTATCCTATACAGCTAAGGGGTTTTCCTACAACAACTTAGAGCGTGCAAAAAGCAATGGGTTATTATTTAGCATATGTACACTCCGAAAACTAGTCTTGTATTTTGTAACAAACCACCCCTATATACGCAATACCCAGTGGCGTAGCCAGCCCGAAGATTTTGTCCCGCTATGTAAATTTCGAGTTATTATAATTGTAGGTTTGAAACGTACACGTAGTCTGGAATATCGATATGTTGCCATTTCCATGCCCAGAGAGTCTACAATAATTATTCATTTCTTTAGAAATATATTGTTTTTACAGTCAATGAACACCAAAATACTGACTTACTGTGCCTAACCAGCTTACTAAATATAGCTTAATACTAAATATAGCTTACTAACCAACTAAACAACCATATATACATACATACATACAGGCTAATTCGCTGAATAGCTAACTAAGTACTGTAAATAACTACCCTTTATTCTCTATCAGCTGGTTGTTATAATTATACAGTACGGTACAAGACGTTTCGTAGTGTAGAGACTTTATTATATTTCCCTCACATACAATATACATGTATGTTTTGATGTTTATGTTAAAGGTTCAAGAATTGGAAGCTTTAGGAGGCCACTGTTTATTGATCTGCGGCTTTGAAGGCCATGTTTTCCATGGCTCAACAGATGTCGGCAATAAGATGTTGAATGATAGCGAAAACGATTTGGTACATCACTTCGCCAATTTGCTGCAGTGTAAGTTTCGGATACAAATATAGTTGGATCTAAAGCAGATGGGTCCAGCGCGATTTGGTAGGGGGAGTTTGATAAAAATATTTGAAAATGAGATGATATTGTATTGCTTCGCTTGTACCTCTCCTGCACCCCCTTTGGCCTAAGTAATAATATTTACTATTGAATGTTATGATTAACTAAACGTTAAGTAAACTTGACTGTATAGGTTCTCAGGATGGAAAGGAGAATATTTCCGTAAAAGCTATTCAAGAACTTTTTAATAAAAAATACGGTGAGCACAAGTTATGTATTGAAAGTTGTAGTTTGAGTACAGGCAGCGTAGTTGGCATAGTCACTGTATATACTGTGATGTCTGTGCATGAGCATAAAGAGTTTGTTATACAGTGTATACAGGGTGTATAAAAAAAGGAGACCTTTATTTATTGTATGTAATGGTAAAGTTTCAGATACATTGCTTGATTTTAATAGGTGAAGTTGTGAAAAAGAAAAACGGGAAAATGCCATATTCGAAAATTCAAGAATATGGTATTGCTTTTATCGGACTTCCAGCTCATCTGGAGATAGATATTGGAACTACACCACGAAAGCCTGCTCTGTACGGTTCGGCTCAGCGTCGTGAATTGTGGCAGTCTAGAAATGCTTGGTCATTAACTATTACTTCATCAAGTAATCTTATTTCCAATGCTCACACTGATGCCGGTCATTCTGCTCTCCAATCTATTTCTGATCCTGTTGTCTCTAACTGTAATTCAACGCTTCAACTTCCAATCCTCCTACTTCTACTGCCTTACATTCTACTTTTTTGTCTACACCTTCGACTTCCCATCCTCTTACTTCCAGTCCTGCTGTCTCTAGCTCCCCCAGTTCTAGTTCTTCCCTGCCTACTCCTTCAACATCCAATCCTCGCATTTCTATTGCCTCTGTTAATGTCCCTAATTCTAGCTCTTCTGTTTCAAAACCTTCTGCTTTCAATCCTCTTACCTCTAGTTGTCTTACATCTACTTCTTCTCCTCTTTTGTCGGACACATCCAATGTTTCTTTGCCTGTTAATTCCAGTCCTGTTATGGCCGTATCAAGTCCCGCAACCCTCGCTTCTTTGCAGGAAATTCACAAAACAAAAGCTATCAGAGTACCAAAGGTGTATATTAATTCCTGTTTAAATTTCGAATTATGTACAAGTGCCAATGTCTTTTAGTAATTTGAAACATTGCATATAGTACGAGTACGGTAACTATGTTTCTCATATATTGCATAATTTTAGACATGTTGTTTGGTCTGATGGCGAAGAATAGTAATGATGTACAGGCTATAGCAGTAGTATCGGGACAAACTCGCGTCCACGGCGAAACGTGGGAGTTGGAAATGTTGTTGTCGAAATTCGCCGCATTATTCAACCTGGGTTGCTTCCTTTTTGTCCTGGTGCATTTGATACGGACGAATGTGTCGTCGTAGGTGCTTTTTACGAGTGGCCCTGTAACAGATTAGCTCTTCTGCATGCGCAGTAACCCTTAACTAGTTAATACGTGGGCATGGCATTGATATTATAAATTTCTTCTCAGTAGTTTAGTTTCTTTATGTTAAAAAACGAAATATGTATCTTGTCAATATGCATTTTTCTGAATAAAAATATTTGAGGTACGATTTACAGTATTTAGTATTCTAGAGAACAGTTTTATGCATTTAAAATGTTACACATTCAACCTGATATGATCTTATATTCATTGTTGTCTTATTAACCAATGATGATTTTTTTGATTCAGGAACGTAAACTGCGTCAGGTTGACTTTGTGTTGGTTCGACTCCAACTCGCAGTGAATTACCTCCCCATTTCAAACTTAGAACTTATGCTCTTTGATTACGATGACAACAACAGTAGTGTATAGGGGCTTTACATGAGCCCGGTTACCCGAGATTCAACGAAGCGTGAGAGGACTCTGAGGTATTGAAATAAGACTTTATGAATTACGACACCAAACAAGCACATGCTATTGTTGTGGTGATTATACGACTGCCAGGAACATGTTATCTGCTCATTTCAATACCTCGAAGTCATCTCACGCTTCGTTGAATCGCGGGTAAACGGGCTCATGTAAACAGCCCCTTAGTATATGGTTAACTAATCAAGATCTGTTTGAATTCAATGCTTGAATAAGTAGATGTCTGGCTCCAGGGGGTGGTTGTTCAAAAGCCGGTTAACTTAATCCTGGGTTAAAGCACAGTTATAAAATATACATGGTTTGGAGACTATGTTGAGGTAGATTTATGGAAAAAATTGTTCTTTTCTCATCACATGTCTATTGTATTTTGCAACAGATAAACCAATAGCAATCTTGTTATTAACATATCTTTCAAGTCAAGGTTGAGGAGCTTTCTTAGCTATTCTATCAACTGTGGTTAAAGCAAATCTCTACATAAATTTTTATAATCGCTTGTTTACAAAATTGAATATCTTTTTTCATAAATATTGTCTGGACCGATAGAAGTCATATTTTACCAAGTTTTAAAACGAACAGTGGTTCAAAAAAAGAGTAAAACAATGAGTTAAAATTTAACCCAGGGTTATTAATATTATAGGTTTGAACAGGCCCCTGGTCTCTGATGGAGACTTCACAAAAGCTACAGCGGTTTTGGACAACAGTGAAGAACTTGGTGAAATTAGCTGAAACTTTGCAATGTTGAGTCTTTTATCGATATAAACTCATGGCCGAAATATTTAATCAAAATATGGAAACGTTCTTATTGAAATACATTTCCCGACTTCATGGGCGGTACCAGTATATAACTACATACTAAGGCTTCACAAAAGCTACAGCATTTTTGGAAAACAATTAAGAACTTGGTGAAATTAGCTGAAACTTTGCAATATTGAGTCTTTTATCGATATTAACTCATGGCCGAAATATTTAATCAAAATATGGAAACGTTCTTATTGAAATACATTTCCCGACTTCATGGGCGGTAGCAGTATATAACTACATACTAAGGCTTCACAAAAGCTACAGCGTTTTTGAAAAACAATGAAGAACTTGGTGAAATTAGCTGAAACTTTGCAATGTTGAGTCTTTTATCGATATTAACTCATGGCCGAAATATTTAATCAAAATATGGAAACGTTCTTATTGAAATACATTTCCCGACTTCATGGGCGGTACCAGTATAACTACATACTAAGGCTTCACAAAAGCTACAGCGTTTTTGAAAAACAAATGAAGAACTTGGTGAAATTAGCTGAAACTTTGCAATGTTGAGTCTTTTATCGATATTAACTCATGGCCGAAATATTAAATCAAAATATAGAAACGTTCTTATTGAAATATTTCCCGACTTCATGGCGGTAGTATATAACTACATACTAAGGCTTCACAAAAGCTACAGCGTTTTTGAAAACAATGAAGAACTTGGTGAAATTAGCTGAAACTTTGCAATGTTGAGTCTTTTATCGATATTAACTCATGGCCGAAATATTAAATCAAAATATAGAAACGTTCTTATTGAAATACATTTCCCGACTTCATGGGCGGTACCAGTATAACTACATACTAAGGCTTCACAAAAGCTACAGCATTTTTGGAAAACAATTAAGAACTTGGTGAAATTAGCTGAAACTTTGCAATGTTGAGTCTTTTATCGATATTAACTCATGGCCGAAATATTAAATCAAAATATAGAAACGTTCTTATTGAAATACATTTCCCGACTTCATGGGCGGTAGCAGTATAACTACATACTAAGGCTTCACAAAAGCTACAGCGTTTTTGAAAAACAATTAAGAACTTGGTGAAATTAGCTGAAACTTTGCAATGTTGAGTCTTTTATCGATATTAACTCATGGCCGAAATATTAAATCAAAATATGGAAACGTTCTTATTGAAATACATTTCCCGACTTCATGCGGTACCAGTATATAACTACATACTAAGGCTTCACAAAAGCTACAGCATTTTTGAAAAACAATTAAGAACTTGGTGAAATTAGCTGAAACTTTGCAATGTTGAGTCTTTTATCGATATTAACTCATGGCCGAAATATTAAATCAAAATATGGAAACGTTCTTATTGAAATACATTTCCCGACTTCATGGGCGGTAGCAGTATAACTACATTACTAAGGCTTCACAAAAGCTACAGCGTTTTTGAAAAACAATGAAGAACTTGGTGAAATTAGTTGAAACTTTGCAATGTTGAGTCTTTTATCGACATTAACTCATGGCCGAAATATTAAATCAAAATATAGAAACGTTCTTATTGAAATACATTTCCCGACTTCATGGGCGGCGGTACCAGTATATAAACTACATACTAAGGCTTCACAAAAGCTACAGCATTTTTGAAAAACAATTAAGAACTTGGTGAAATTAGCTGAAACTTTGCAATGTTGAGTCTTTTATCGATATTAACTCATGGCCGAAATATTAAATCAAAATATGGAAACGTTCTTATTGAAATACATTTCCCGACTTCATGGGCGGTAGCAGTATAACTACATTACTAAGGCTTCACAAAAGCTACAGCGTTTTTGAAAAACAATGAAGAACTTGGTGAAATTAGCTGAAACTTTGCAATGTTGAGTCTTTTATCGATATTAACTCATGGCCGAAATATTAATCAAAATATAGAAACGTTCTTATTGAAATACATTTCCCGACTTCATGGCGGTAGTAGTATAACTACATTACTAAGGCTTCACAAAAGCTACAGCGTTTTTGAAAAACAATTAAGAACTTGGTGAAATTAGCTGAAACTTTGCAATGTTGAGTCTTTTATCGATATTAACTCATGGCCGAAATATTAAATCAAAATATGGAAACGTTCTTATTGAAATACATTTCCCGACTTCATGGGCGGTAGCAGTATAACTACATTACTAAGGCTTCACAAAAGCTACAGCGTTTTTGAAAAACAATGAAGAACTTGGTGAAATTAGCTGAAACTTTGCAATGTTGAGTCTTTTATCGATATTAACTCATGGCCGAAATATTAAATCAAAATATAGAAACGTTCTTATTGAAATACATTTCCCGACTTCATGGGCGGTAGTAGTATAACTACATTACTAAGGCTTCACAAAAGCTACAGCGTTTTTGAAAAACAATTAAGAACTTGGTGAAATTAGCTGAAACTTTGCAATATTGAGTCTTTTATCGATACTAACTCATGGCCGAAATATTAAATCAAAATATGGAAACGTTCCGATTAAAATACATTTCCCGACTTCATGGTAGGTACCAGTATAACTACATTACTAAGGCTTCACAAAAGCTACAGCGTTTTTGAAAAACAATTAAGAACTTGGTGAAATTAGCTGAAACTTTGCAATGTTGAGTCTTTTATCGATATAAACTCATGGCCGAAATATTAAATCAAAATATAGAAACGTTCTTATTGAAATACATTTCCCGACTTCATGGGCGGTACCAGTATATAAACTACATACTAAGGCTTCACAAAAGCTACAGCATTTTTGGAAAACAATTAAGAACTTGGTGAAATTAGCTGAAACTTTGCAATATTGAGTCTTTTATCGATATTAACTCATGGCCGAAATATTAAATCAAAATATGGAAACGTTCCGATTAAAATACATTTCCCGACTTCATGGTAGGTACCAGTATAACTACATTACTAAGGCTTCACAAAAGCTACAGCGTTTTTGAAAAACAATGAAGAACTTGGTGAAATTAGTTCAAATTTTGCAATGTTGAGTCTTTTATCGATATTAACTCATGGCCGAAATATTAAATGAGAATATAGAATCGTTCCGAATAATTGAAACCATGGGTTGGAATCGAACCAACCGTGAACAGCCAGTCATGGTCTTTGTGTCAAAAGAGAAGGTGAACAGTCCTAGTTGGTTTTGGAGGTGAGGGTATTACTCTACGCTTTCAAACAGCACTTTAAGCTTTCACTATAAATTAAATAATATTGATTTTGCAGAGCAGAGAAAACCGGAGTCACTGAGTAAACTACTTCAAAGTATTTGAGAGATACCTATACTCCATTTAAATTATTAAAACAAACAAAACAATGCACTAACATTCACGTTAGCAACTTTTATGTAACAAAATAGCAAAATGAAACACATATACCTGTGTATACACATGTGTTATTATATGAGTCACCTGACAACTAAACAGTGTGAAAACTCATGTCTAACGATTTACCATAAAATATATACACATTATATTTATAGTAAAGAATCACAATCATTAGTTATGTTTTAAACCTTTGTTTGCCGCACGTTCTAGAGCAACGCCGGGTGTTCTTTTTAAGTTTCTTCTTCATCAGACTTCTCTTCGTCGGAATATTCGTAATCCGTACCATACTCTTCATTCAGTACAGAGACAAGAATATCTAGCACATTTTCTTCTTCTAGCTCGCTTTCTCTATCTTCATTTCCAGCATCATCGTCTAACTCCATCTCGAATTTATCTGCCTCATCACATGTCAGAAATATTCCATCGTCTTCTGGTAATGCTGCATGTTCATCCATGTAAGGTGCAAATAAAGAATTCAGATGCAGCAGCACGATGTCAAGCGTGTCTTTCTCGGTCAGTACCATCACCAATAGTCCTGTTGACTCAGGACTCTCTTGCTCTTTTCTTAATTCTTCCGACCACGTTGCAAGTGCAGATACTCTTGCTGAATAGAATTCAAGAACTCTGGCCATTTCGTTTTTAATTAAGTCAACTTCTTCAGTAGAACGGTTGATGATGTGGTTAAAATCAATTATCTTGCGTCGGATGTAGTATGGAACTGGGAAATCAGCATCAGCCTCTTCTTCTAGATGATTCCATATAGTCGAGTTTAGATCGGTGATTTCTTCAAACGTAACACTGGCAGGATATTTAGATTGGTGGTGTTCGGTAATCTTTTTATCGTATTCTCTCACCAGCTTCTTAATCGTGTTTGTCGTTTTATTTATTTGGCCACAGATCTTTTTCGCAATGGCTTGCCCGTCTGTAAATTCAAATATAACAACTTAGATTTCATCGCACAACACTCTGATGTTTTGAAAATACAATCACAACAAAGTACAAAGGATTGACCAAAATTATTTTAAAGTTTAATTTCTCTTTAGTAGTTTGTTACCATGATAAAACAAAGTACTTCTTTCGATGCATTTAAATTCACAGTGTTTTACATCATGTTAATTAATAAAATCATTTTTGAGTTATCGTGTACAGTATCACGCGATGTACAAAACGACAATAGCTAGTGGCCAAGTATATATCACTGAGAGCTAGTGGCTAAGTATATATCAAGTGGAAATCTCTTCGATTAGTAATTTGATTAATTGTATAATATAAACCTGCATATTTTTTCATAAGCTGCAGCAAAAACCAACGTTCCAAACATCTTGCACGCATATCACTCAACAATTCATTTCTACGTGTATCTTCCGCTTTGGTAACATACAATTTGAATGCTGGGTGATCTTGACTCCAACGCTGCTGACCGTTCTCAATTTTCTTCAGTTGTTCATTTTTGCTAAATTGTTCAAACAAAGAAAACTTAACATTCACTAACATTGCACTAACATTCACGTTAGCAACTTTTAAGAAACAAAATAGCAAAAATGAAACATATACTGTACTGTATACGTACCTGTTCAATTTAGAACTTAAAATTGAAAATTCTTCACTGTCCACCTCGATCTCTGCAAGCTTGGCTCTTTATATTAAAATTAACATAATGTAACTAATGAATTATCGTATGTATACATTAAAACATTGGTATTTAATTATGATGGAAATAGTCAAACCTTGTGTCATAATACTCTTTCAACTTTTCCGCATACTGTTCTGTGACGTCCGTAACATTCGCTGTGGCTACAAATATGATTGATTGATTGATTATTATTAAAATACTTGAAATGGCAGTTCAAAAACGAACTGAAAAACACAAGTTTACAAGTATCAGAAATAAGACTATTTACATATTTACAGTGATAAAATACTCAGAAATACAATTACTAACATGTTAATACCATAACTACAAAAAGATATGCTAACATTAGGTTCTAAAATATTAAGATATTAAAATGAGTTCCATTTACGTATGCTTACGTATACTTATAATTGAGTAAACTGCTCTATATCGCTAACCTCTCTTCTCCGACTTCTTACTATAGAGATCTTTCTCAGACTTAGACCACTTTTCTATTGTTGTTACATTCAGTTGTATACCTATACCCAAAGAAAAATACAAATATGTACATGATTGAATTTGTATTTCCCGTAACAATTATACACAAAATTTGAAAAAATCAACAAACCGCTTTTACTAAGATTTTCAAGGAGCAGATTCAACTGCTCATTTGTGTCGGCTTTCATGTGCAATGCTTTCTTCAAATGATCGCACAAACGTTCGCCTAGATTTGTCAAGATATTAAAACAATGTACTGTTTATTATAAAAAATGCTCAGAAAGTAGAGATATTCCGTAACAAAGAATGTATGAAAATAGATACCACCGATACTTATACCAATGAATTAGAACACTAAAAATAATTATTAGAGGATGAATACAATAATTATAAAAGTACTTATTATTTTGTATTTACCGATTTGCCCTAAAGATTTCTTTCTATAATGTAAGAGAAAGTCCGTCAGAGCATCAACTCGGTGTGACGGGGTCATTTCTTTGGTGATTTTTGAAGTTGGCCTAAGGTAAGACCACATTCGCTCCATCACTTCACCGTCGCTTAGACCAAACCCATTAATTCTCCGGCCACTATATGACACCTGATCAGCCAAAAGATTATTATAAAAATTTAATATCACACTAACATACACCAAAAACACGGAAAAACAATGTAGCTACTGAAAATTATAACCGTGGAAAAATAGACATTTATAAATATATATATATATATATAAATAATTATATATATATATATATATATATATATATATATATATATATATATATATATATATATGTTTAAAGATTTGTAATCCAGGCATATTTATTATTTTTTTTACGTGAATTCAAAGAAGCTTGGTTTAGTACAGACGACAATACTATTAACAGACATATCGACATTCCTGCAGTCTATCTGCAACTTAAGACAAAACGTAAGGACTCTATCAATAATCACATTAATATAACTAATAATAACTTAAATCCACCCGCATCTGATACACAACAATCTAATCATTCCACAGCGACCATCCCTGACAACGAAATGCAGTCAACCATGACAACGCATCCCTCAACTACCACTCATATCAGATCAACTTCAAAACAACCAATCAGACGCTCTTAACGTATACAGAGTCTTAAAGAACAGCGCGAAACTTGAATATATAAATCTAGACACATGTAAATAATTTAGATATTCTGAAGAAGACTCGAAGTACCGAGTCGAAAGCTCAATAAAAAACAATTTTAAATCCGGAGAACATTCATTGACAAACAATATATATATATATATATATATATTAGAAGTTTCATTTCTGCTGTAGTTCAATGTAAAAAAACTATTAGAAACAAGGAAAAAAAGTATACAATACAAAAAGTTAGGTACCTGACAAGATACTTTATGTCCATAGCAGTGAAATGTAGGAATGGCCACCTTAACATTTTCCAATAATGCCTCCTGATTTGTTCTCTAAATACACAATAAATAAATTCGAAATTATACAGATATACATCTAATTCGCTCTCTAAGTATTTGGGAATAACTTGTATAACTGACTGTAACATTATTTCACGGGAAATATTGTACCATCACATGCTGAATTTATGTTTATTTTGAAATGAGGATTTTAATGAACCACCGTTCTCTTGATACTGTACAGGGGCACTTTCATTTAAATGGCGAAAATGGCCAGTCTGGGCCTATTGTATTTTTCTACAGACTGATTACTGGGGATTTGGTGTTTTAAGCTCACATGATTTATATTGGTATTTTACCATTTTGGCTGCATAAAGGAAAGTGCCCAGGTTAAAATGAAGTGGTTGTACTGTGTAGGCTTTTGCAAACTTTTCAGTTAGATTTCAAAAGTCTGTACTTTGAATGCCTACAGTCTGTACCTTCAAATGAGATTCCAGTGTACATGCTATCATAATACAAATAGATGTTCAAATTCTTGTTGTTTGTACTTTCTTTCAACCACTTCAGCAAATAAACTGCATTTCCAATTCTAAAACATGTAATTACAGCTCAGTGAATTTATTACATTAACATGTTTTGTTCAATGCAACAATTAGTGAAGTGTCTAGAAACCTTTGGCAAATTTACTTACTCTTCCCCTCTTTTTAGACTAAAGAATTTTAAAGGCACTTCATGTCTGCAACCTGCTCCAAATATTGCAGTTTCATCTAATTTTTTAGTCTTCACCTTAGATCTGAGATTTGATCCAGCTTGGAAGTTATGGCAGGACACCTGCAATATAAAAATTTATAAGAATTTTGCTACTCATAAGAATTTCATTACCTAAATGTATATATTGTACGTACTTGTGACTTTAATGATGATGTAACTTTGTAATTCTTCAAAAAAGAATCCACTTTTGTTTGCTCTATGAAAAGTGTTTCTCCATGGTTTGCTGGTCTAACACTTGTCCCAGCGCTTATCTTTCTCACACAGCCAAATAAAGCATCCAAAGATACATACATATTTCCACTTTTCTAAATGAAAGAAATGTAATTAAACTTTAAATAGTCAGTAATAATTCATGGCCATTAACTGTAGCCTACAGAATCAACTTGGCAAATGAAATATGACATGCACAAATTCCCTTTGAAAATTGTCTGGTGTTTAAGAATAAAGTTTCTTCAAGCCAATACTACATTTTCATTATTATCTTTACAAACAACAAAACCATTAAGGTATAGACAACAAGTATAAAGGATTTCCAAATAAATGCTACCTAGTACTGTATATACGTTTGTTTATATACAATGTACTGTTTACCTTAGGGCATGCAGGGCATTGACTAACATTATCCAACTGCACATTTTTCCCACCAAATGTATCCAGCATGTAGCTAAGGTAACGGTATTCTCCAAAATTTTCACCAACAAGTAGCCGATATATGTCCTTTACCTAAAATATTAGATTAAATTCACCTAAATGCTATGTGTCTAACTGTTTTTTATTCTATTGAAAGTAAGTTGCAGACACTAATAATTAGACCCTACAATGTACTAGTATTGTCTTTAGTAATTATTATACTGTATATGCAATTAATACATACTAATGAATTAGAAGTTTGGCTTTGCAAATTCAGTCATAAAAGGGAAAGCCTTTGGAAGTAATGAGGTTGGGTTAAAATACTCACATAAACTGGTGAAAGAGAAGGCATAATCCAGTATATTGCCTGACATATCGACTTTAAAGATGTTCGGCATTCCAAGAAGATATATTTGACCAATTCCATAAGATTTTTTTCAAATGCTGCTTGTGGTTCCTTGGGTGATGAAGGCCACAAACCATGTTTCATTAATGTCACTGCTTCTGGCTCATGGCAACAGAATTTAAACTTCACAAGACGCTGTTGACCTAAGCAAAATTCGTTGAAAAGAACACACAATTTATTTATTTAAAACAGACTCTCTCTTTTAATGGTCAGCCAGTTGATAGCCACTAGACCAATGTGTAAAAAAATAAATGACAAAACAGAGTATGAATAACATCCTGAGCAATCCAAGATATGGATTAACATAATACTACTTACATGAGTTTGTGATGTTTCAATTTTATTATCAGATAGATTGTAATAAACTGCAAATGTTGCAAACTTGTGTTTATAGTCTTAATTGTTTTAATCCATATCTTTCATCTAAACGTCGCAAACTTGTGTTTATAGCCTTAATTGTTTTAATCCAGATTTCTCAGGATTTTATTTTTCAGACTCAGTTTTCTTTTATTTTCCAAAAAAATACAATTGGACACATTATCAGTCAATGTATTAAATATCAATATAAAGCCATAGTAATTGCTTATTTAATTCATAGGAAAAAATGGAATCTTAGAAGTAGTCATGTTGGCAGGTAAAGAGACAGAGTATGGTAAGGAAATTGACACAGAATTTACACAATAATACAAAATTCATAAATGTATAATTGTAAGTGTGCTCATGTGATAAAAGAAAACACCTGACAATCAACGTCACAATGTAATACCATAAACATACCATTTCTATTAACGACGACAACATCACGAGTATAACCATGATCTAAATTGTGATTTGTCTCCCAAACAACAACTTCTTTAAATTTGTATTGAATATACTTTTCAATCTACAATGCAACATACTCTCATCACATGACTTCATATACACAGTACATACATCCTGTCATCATATATGACTTCAATACTATTACACTAAGGTTGCAGTATAAAAGAATCATTGAAATAAGCTCCTCAAAAAGCCACATGACCTCTGCCAAAATGAGAGACCATAACTTATAAATATTACCCCAACACAGCTATATTACCTCCCAAATCTCAGGATAGTGGAAAGACTGACCAGAGGCATGAACAAGGTTTATATGTTCCTCACACATAAAATGTGCTGGGCCACAGTCAAGGCATCTACCACATGCACTTTCTTTGCACTCAGGAATTACACAACCTTGGTTGACAGGCATAGCTTGATGCTCCAGAAAAGCAGAGAAGAGTTGTTGTCGAATACCAAGCCAAGCATTCCCCAACTTAATCTTTCTATCGCGATAAGCCTTAATTTTCTTCTTCAAACGCATTTTACCACGCTTTGGTTTGAAGCTTGGCCCAACAATTTCATCTCCACCAAAGCTGACTTCTGGCTGCCCACATGCTGAAGTTTCAGGTAGAGAAGAGGACGTATATTTGTGAACATTAGTTCTTTCTGAATACTTTATGGGTACACTGAGCTTTGATCTCCGATTGACTTTCCCGTCTTTAAAGCTTACCACTTTAACAGTGTGTTTTGCTTTAAAACATCTTCGAGACGACATGGCTTTCTCAATTCATTGTTTATTTCAAATATTTTAAAAGTTGGATTTTAAACGATTTAAAACTATGGATTTTAAAAAGTTAGTCACCCAGTGAACTGGCGCCATATTTAATTCGCCAAAGCTGTTGTGTACTTGTGTCCAGGCTTTGATCTTAGGTACTCCGACAGTTGGTTTGGTTAGGTGTCTGATACCTACTATCACCGCATATATGCGCCAATTACGTTTCAATTCAACCCAGTCTCTTCCTAAAATTGACTGTATATACTAATTGTGTTCTGCTGGGCAAATTGACTGTGAGAATCAATTTCAAGGACGCTTTACAATCTACCAGGCCTGGTTACGCTGGATTTATTTCACGCAAATATTTTGCAATTTTGCTCGTTCTCTGCAGCCATATTTCAGTAAAATTTGCATATCGAAGCGTCGGTGTTTGAAAATCATATATTAAACATGCAAATAGGCAATGACAAAGGTATGTGGGACTAGTTGTAAATGATATTGATTCCTTGGGATAAAAGCATTATGTCTATATATTCGTATAAAATCGCTCTGAGATTATGAAAATGTGGCATTTCTGGGGGGCTACATTTTGCTCAGCCCCCCATTTTATACATAAAATATTAAAGACAGAGTAAATTTATTTCACATTTTAGGCCCTGTTCACAAGGTACCTTATTAGCCGGTCACGACAACTTCGTTTGCCGTTATTAAGCAAATGTATTATTGTAAATTTATATGTGTAATGTGTGAGGCCTAATTGTGGGCCTCAATTTAATACTGTAAGACAAATTAACTAATGAGAAGACATCTCTGAATATTTGAAATAAAGTTATTAAAAATTTTATGACTTAAACATTTTATGCACTGTACAGTTTGTACTCAGTCTTCGACTACATTATTTACACTTTTACTGCCTGTACTAATTACTGTATTATATATTAATTGATATGTTTATATTGATATCGATATATAATGCAGTAATTAGTACAGACAGTAGAAGCTGACCGCACGCGTAAACAATGTAGTCGAAGACTGTGTACAAAGTACTACAAACAGATTTCTGGGCAACCTATGGTTGTACAGTATGCTTCTTACACATGTGGAGGGGCATAATGCAAACAATTTAAACTGTATGGTACTTTTTGTTTGACAGTTAAGTGAGTTAACTAATTTACATGTATCCAAAGCTCACCTATCAACACACAAGACAGTCATTTCTGGCATGAATGCTTGATAAATAATTTTTGTGTTAACTATTTTATTATGTCATTATATTATTCTCATAACTATTTTAAAATTTTCTTCTGCACAGCTGCATGAGGACTTATTTATAGTCTATATAGGTATTTGCACCATAGTGTATAGCATATTTTATAACTGCATGAATGCTTAATTATTTTAGAAGAATTTATCCATCAAAAGCATTAACCAACCTGTGAAATATAATTGTATTTTTTTAAAGTGATTTAAGCTGCTTCAATGGTTAACCCTTTTAGTGATGTGATATTTGCTTCATGACATTATAAACAGGCTTACATTTCAACTCAATTTTTTATGTAAGCATGACAAAATTTCACTGCATGAGTTTACTTCTTTGAATAATCACCTATTCTGATTTAGTTATGATTTAATAAGCATACAGGTATTGTATCTACTACTTTAGTACTTATGACAATGTTAGCCAAAAAGAAGCAAAATATTTTGTTGATAATCCATAATGAAATCTTACTGATCAATATTTAATTTGTAAACATTCCCATCTGTTCCCTCCAAGGGATTTTGTACCCTGTTATAATGTAGTGTAGTCTATATCTAAACGACATTGTGAAATTCATAAGCAATTATGAACTTCACATAAAAACTATTATTTTGGCAATTTATGGATTTGGATCCATGAATACCTCTGTAAATGTTACAAACTACATGTATAGGGAGTGATTTGATTTCATACACATGAGTACCAGCAGTAATGTAATAAGCCTGATAATCTGATGAAGAGTACTTATCTAATAGGGTATAAATTACAGCCAACATTCTCATTCGTGTAGTGTACATGACTATAATATTCCATTTTGTGCCTATCCAGTGACTGCTTATGTTGTAAATAATACTTCTTAATTTACAATGACCCAGTCTTTTAATTGCCTTTGTTTTTCCTCAATATTATTACTAGATGATGAAAACAAGTTGTGAGTGCCACATCAGAAAAGTTTGTATGTTGTCACGTTTTAGTAAATTCAAAATATTTTGTTGTGTGGAAAAGTTTTAATATCTCATTTTTATATATCAAAATAAATACCCTAGTGTGATACAGTATGTTTTTAACAGTATGAAGGATATGTGATCAAGCAGTAAATATAGTAATATTTTTATTATTTTGTTATTATCTTCATGATGGGTTTGTATCATTAGTCACTGTAAATACTTGTACATATCTGACAGAAGTTGACAGCCTGAGAACAAAGCTGATCATTGACTTAAGGCCAGGGCCGTAGCTAGACCGCTTAACTGGAGGGCGTATATTCATATATTCATGTTTATCTACCCCAGAAACAATAGCGTACAAAAGAAATCAGTCGGGGCATAAGATGAATTTATGAATATACACCCCCCAATTTAAGCTTCTAGCTACGGCCCTGCTTAAGGCTGGCTTGCATTATCACAGTTTCTGCAGGTAAGCACAGTTTCTGTGATCAAAGTACACTTTGATCCATGTATTTGACAATGTGAACACCTTCAAAGAGGGCAGTTGCTTTGAAGCTCTGTGATTCTGTGAACACAGACTTCTCACAGAGGCTAATTGATCACAGAAACATTGACAGTGCAAATCGGCCTTTACTTCGTGTTACATTGCAACCATATCTTCCACCCATTCATTTTATTCATTCCTGATTCTAGTCTGCGCTCTTCTCCCGAACTTAGGTAATTTCTATTTATGCTCACATTAAAATTGTCATTTTAAGCATCATTGATCGTATGTGTTTTTTAGACTACATCTCGTAAGAAAGTGTGCCAGAGTTGTTCAGCTGAGGTGGGCAATGCTTGTAAGCGTTGTTCAAACTGTGGTGAAGTTTTCCCGAAGCGCCTCTGTAACATTTCACTCCCTAAACATACAAGCACCACCAGTCAAAAAGAGCTTCTTATGAGGAGGGTTTGTATACAATACATATCAATATATATATAATATATATATATATATATATATATTATATATATATATATATATATATAGGTCAGGTATATATATAACGAGGTCAGGTAACTGAAAAAAGCCTATAATCAGGGATGCCGTAAAATGACGTAAATTGATGCCGCGACGATGCGAATCTGGTATGGCGAAAACAGGGCCGTAAGGTAACAATTGAACAACTAGCACCAGTTTTTGATGCTGATGCTGTTGTGCAATGTCGGCCAATTTAAGCGTGAGTAGTAAGACCCACACACACTGGACGCGATTGGCCAACGCGACGCGAGTTTTCTACTCAGTGTTAAAAACTGAGAAATTCCTACAGATCGCGTCGCGTTGGCGGATCGCGTTCGGTGTGTGTCGGCCTTAAGGCTTTGTGGCTCCAATGTAAACAGCAACGCAATTTTTATTGTACAGGCGTTGACACTTCACCAGAACCACGGATACCACGTAGTTGTCATGTATTGCCATCCATCTTCAACTGGTGGAAAGACTATGTGGGATTTTGCATCTTCCTGGTTTTGGAGCAGACTTTATATCAGAGAAAAGTAAAACTGGAAAAGCAGCCCGGGAGTTGTTCAAACACGGTATGAAATCACTGTTTTCTAGACAGCGTGTCGAAGGCTCGTCGTCTGACCGTGAAACGCCTCAAAACAAGTCGAAGCACGTCATCCATGGCAAAAGCCCACCAATGCCTACGTCGTCTCCACCTACAACTCCCACCGAATCAATGTCAATTGCATCGTCTTCCGAAACATCATCCACAACCTGCATCTCAAAGGCTGGCGAAACCTCATCAAGCTCTCGTACAATTGTAACTCCTTCCTCGCCGTTGTCTTCAAAGTCTCTCACAAATCCACCAGACCACCAAATGAGGCAACCAACAACCAAATCAATCAACCAGACCACCCAACCAAACATCAAAACCATTAGATGAAACATCTGACTTACCAAATCAATCAACCCGGCCAATAACTCATACAACCAGACGCCAAATCTAGTAGCGAAACCGTCTTCAACAACATTGAAAAGTTTATTTTCTGCAGGTAATTAAAAATCTTTGTGTTTTGCAACCTTGCTTATATAATTTATTACCTAGCTTGTTATATAATCTCAAAAGAGTTCACGATATTACCTATTTTATATATATATATTTATATATATTAATATATATATATTTATATATATATATATTATATTATATATATATATTTATATTATACACCCGTTTGCAAAAACGTTGGCCGCAGAAGATATATAGATAGATACTCGAAATCTACTTAGAATTGCGTATGTTGTGTAATATGATTGAAATCCCATGCAAATGTAATCATATGCAATTCTAATTAGACTTCGAGTATCTATATCTATCTATCTATCTGCGGCCAACGTTTTTGCAAACGGGTGTTATATATACATTTGTTTCTTTTCAGGTACGGTTGTGTCCTTGACTGACAATAAAGGCACATTTTGCGGTGAGGCATGTGTAACAGGTTTTAAGAGGGTGCACAATGTTGCAGTCCCACCAGGCCATTTGTCAGTTGTAATAACATCTTTGGTGGAAGGGATGGTTATCCCCCCTCCGTGTCCTAGTTCTTTTGATACCAGCAAGTTTGAAGTTGGCGAATTTCATGCTTGCTTGGCACTATTGAGAATGCATTCCAAGCCTTAACCTTTATATTATTTGATTTTGTATTCCAAATTTAATAAACTTAGCTATTATATATCTCAACAACTGTGAAAAAAAACTATTTCGGGGTGGCCACAAGCAGAACGTTATAAAATGTGTAATTTCTTAACTTATATACAATTGGGGAATGTTGTGACAATCTATATGAGATGCGAAAAGTACTTACGTACGCCTTCATCTATGCACGCTTATAACACTAGCTATAACCACGTGGAAGTTGAATTGGAAGTATATATATAGACGTTCCAAGGATGCAACGTGATAATGGTTTTAAAATGCATATAAAGTATAAAATAACCACGACTCATACATTGTGTTTTTTCCTTCTATATATTATAGAACAATGCTACTCCTGTTTTAAATTATTACATAAACCATATGACATGGTTTTTATTTATATAGTTTATGTTTAATGTATAAGTTCCTGAATAAGCGATGTTGAAATTCCTGTTCAACTTTGTTTCGGCAGATAATTTGCGAAAACTCCATAAAAACATAATTTTTAAAAGCTATGAAACAACAATTTCAATATAACAATTTTTTTATATTTCAAAACAACAATTTTTTATATTTATCGTCTATGCTACTGCTTCTATACATAATCTTAACTTTTTATATCGATAAACAAAATGAAAATAAAACTAAAATAAACTGTGCATGGTTGAAGGAAATGTCAGCTATCTGCATGAGTGACTTTCCAGTTGGTTCAATTCCAACTCACAGTTCTATAATTGAATTCTATTATTGTTGTTATTATAATAATTATTATTATTAAAAAAAATATACCAAAATAACGTTATAGGTTAAAAAGAATGAGGAAAAAGGATATTTTTGATTATTTTTCGTTACTTTAGCAAAAGGAAGAATTTGGTTACTTTGGTATTACAACCATGCATATAGACATAGGAGTTTAATGAAGACTGTTTTACAAGAATATGCCAGCAATTTCTCGTGAATATCTAAAATTTTCTTACATAATACCATGATTACCTCGTTTTTTACTTTTGTTCGCTAAAGACAATTTAGTCCCTATATCCCGCAAACATATGAAATTAATGTAATTTTCCCGAAGTTTCCCGAAATTTGACATTGTTTCGAAAAAACAATTTGTAACAAGAAATTTTTTATTTGAACTTTGACTAATTTTAATTTGACTATGTGTACGGACTGATTTAAAATTTATTATTAATATCTTAACTTTTAAGGACAATACCCTAACAACAATAGACGAAATCTGTGAGATCTCAGACTGTCTTGATTTTCCGGCATGAGATCGTTTTTTACACAAATATACGTGAGTCTCACGCCTAATCCGTGAGACTTGGCAACTATGTTAACTTGCCAATATTGGTATTACAAACTATATAGGTAATACCATAGTGAGTGCATAATTAGTGATTAAAGTTTCGATACCTTTTAACGAAAAAAAAGGTGATTCGGGTGTTCAACAAAAACGTGCGGTATCAAGCTATATTATGGATTGCAATGATTAATTTAAAATTTTCGTGTTACTTTTATCATATAGAAAGATCATTATTTCACATCGCCAAAATTAAAAACAAATGGGACATACATATATAAGGATCCTCACGTCCATAGCCAATCCAAAAGGATCAAAAGAAATAAAAATTTGAAAAAGTCGAGGTGATTCGGGTGTTAAAAACATGCCGCTTCAAAATGCTATAAGTTCCTTCCCATAAAAAATATCATGTGTTGCTTTCGTAATTGAGTTTTTAGTACTTTCTTTATATATCGCAAAGTGAACATTAAAGCGAAATTTTATAGTTAGTATCCAAAACCGTTAAATAAAACATATATACTCAGTCAATACAAAATCACTTACACTACACCTGAACATTACATCGGTATTTAGAAAGGAGAAATTTAAGAATAACCCTTCAATTTTGAACAAGTTTACGTTTTGTGGTTCTCGTGATCCAATAAAAAGGTTAACAATACTGAAACATAGATAATGGAATCAATGTAAATAATAGTAAACATCAAAATTACAACAACTAACCTACCAAATATAGTTAGTGTCACCATAATCCTAATACCCTAACCCTAACCCTAGAGCCTTGACCAGTATGAAAGACGAACAACGTGCTCACTAGTTGAAGTTACGTAGAAGTTCAACGAAGAATCTTTAATACACGTAGCGTAATGTTACTGTAAGATCGATTTTGTTCTGTGCAATTAGCCTAGCTTTCTCACGATGACGAATATGCCGCCATTTTTGGGGTTCTTTATAGCAACCGTGAGTGTATGGCTTCGTAACGACGACTGTCTTTAATTTTAGGCTGGAGTTATTCTTCAAATGGTCTGTTGATTTTAAAAAAAATGCTTTTCATGTTGGTATTATTTTTTAAACACATTTGAGAAAATTGAAAGTACCCCAAAAACGTCATCGTGAAGGCTAATAATCAAATCTAGAAAAAGTTTCCTAAGGAATACTTGACAAGAAAATTTTGTTGAGAAACGTTTTCTCGAAAACTTTTTATATTTTGAGAAAATTTCTCTAGAGACTCTATGATTCTTATTTCATGCAAAACATGTTCTATTTCCTTAGGCCATAAGTATGATCAATGAAGAATGAAATATTTTTAAAATCTCTGCATTTGAAGTTTAGCCTAATTTCTATTGCAGAATTTCTTCAAATTTCTAATTTCTAAATTTTAGTAAAATTTTAATGAAACGATCTTGCTGCTTCCTTTTTCAGAATCTGAATTTATTATGTAGGTAAACTCGTTTGAAGGTCATGGCAACTTTCAAAATATACGGTATACGAAAATTATACTACAAACAAATGTGCTTGTTTATCCGATATTTCTCAGCGAACCTTTCAGAAGTACACTACAGCTCATTAACTATATACTTTTGCCAGGTTTATGCAAGAATGTGTTCCTTTCGCTCGTCACGAGGAAGGACGAAATGCAATACATATAACAGATATATACAAAAACAATTGTTATATAGGTGCTGTATATTTTAAATGTGATTGGTTCATTCGTAGTCACATGACTTTAAATAAATGTAATGTTTCCCAAACAAGTGAAAAATTGGTGCCCGCATATTGTCATAACATTTTGAAATGAAATTGTCGTGTAAGATGTATGTTTTTGTTCCTATATAACAAAACACTTAATGTTCGCTACACCTCGGGAAATAGTGAGTTTTGTTTTCCCTCGAGTCTAAATGTTTCCCTCGACATTCAGACTCTTGGGAAAACAAAACTCGTTATTTCCCTCCGGAGCATACATTAAGTGTATATTGTATTAGGTTTATGAAGGAGTATATTGCGAGACTATCGATTGATGGACGCCTAAAAAATCTTTCCTACAAGTGACTGCACTGCACGTAAAGTCTGTAATTTTTTTAAAAAAATGTTCTACTGATTTAAGTCATCATCACAAAACAACGATACTGCATTCCTAATATTAAATGACGCTTAATTACAGAACTGCGAGTTGGAATTGAACCAACTGGAAAGTCAAACAGACAGCTTGACATTTCGTTCTACCAGACACAGTTTGGCATTTATTGGTTGGAGTCTATATAGAAACTTTTTCTTGTCGGTCTGTTAAGATCTGGGATCATGATCCTGATCTGAACACCCCCAAGTTCTTTTATACATCGCTTTGGTTCATAACTGCAAGAGCTTTGGCAACTAAGAAAATAGCAAAAATGAAATGCTTTTAATTCTTCTAAGAGAAAAAGGAATTGTCATATATAGATGTTGTACAAATTTAGAGTTTTATTACTATTTATTTTTCGTATAATATATGATATTATGAATAAGGTATCTGAACTTCAATTTCAAAAACTCTTTAAAACTAAAATTATTCTAATTCATTATTGTCGTCACTTGACCAATCTTCTTCACTTTCATTGTAATATTCATCATCATCATCATCATCGCATTTATCATCAATTTCTTCCAGGCATGCCAGAGAAGTATCTAGATGTCGAAAATATTTCAAACCAACTGCAATCTGGCTTTTGGCAAAAGCTATTCCTTTGTTAGTAATAGCAAGTTGACCCTGCAATGTCTCGATTCTTTCGCAACGCAAGGAATAACACTTCCTATCACCCAATAAGTTCTACAACAACAGAAAATGTAAAATACGAAAAAAATTGGAGACTAACACTAAACCTCAGAAGACTACATGCCATTATGGTGCACACATATTAATACATTGTTATACCTCATTTTCATTTTGATATTTGTCATCAGGTTCATTGACGTCGTGAATAAAAGCTAAAAATACAAATTCAGGTGAAAACAGTGCTTTGCAAAGACCATTGGAAAAAAAATCAATGAAGGAATCAAAAATAGATTTCTAGCAATTTCTAGCAAGTTTATTGTCAAGATTTTATACAATAACAGCTATTGCAAAAGTTCGGAAAATATCTGATAATTATACCTATCCGCTCATTAATGACTGCTTTTCTTTGATGAAGGTTGTCCAAAATATTCTTTAAATAGAACACGAGGAAGTTCTTCATTTCTTTTCTTATTTGATCCTCTTCTTCTTTTAGCCTTTGAACCAGCATGAACTTTTCTACTACTTGTGCTTTGTAGCGTACAGGAAGACCTATAGTATAGCAAAAAGTCTAAATCAATTTATATAGAGATTAAGAAAAAATTCTATTCTTTCGATAAAAATGTAGCCATGATACACTAGTAAATTCGCTATACTTTTCGTAGTTGCTGGTTCCTCACTAAACGACCAAAGAAAATCTCCCGCAAGAATAGCTTCAGCACTTGTTGCAGGCAGTTTCAGAAGGCTGTTAACTGAGTTTAACTCTTCTACTGTGGACGCTATTTCTGTTTTTTCCCTTGAGCATTTTGCTCGCATAGATGATCTCCTTTTACTAGAATCTAAAAAGAAAGCCTTTATTTAACCAAATAAAATAAAGTACGCGGACCTAGTTATTAACTCCTAACGATGTGAGTGACCGAGATAAACATATTATATTAAAGTAACAATAAAATTGTTATATATACACCAACCAGCAAGCGCCGAAATCTCCTTCATCCGCCTCGTAATGGAAAAGTACAGCATCTCCAATTTTCTCTGCAACCTGGACAATGTTACTTTCGCAAGTTCAACCTTCCCCCGAGCTAGAAGCTCCTCCTCTGTTACAGTGGAATTCAAAAGCTCGGACGACAAAACACGCAATCTTTCCATGTTCTTATTCAACTGCTTTGTTTTATCTGCAGCAAGTTGGTGAAATTCTTTATCCCCGATTAAAATCCGCGTCTGGTCATCGTTCCTACTTACAAACGTATTTAGTTGTTGAGCATTTTGTACCACATGATGTAAAAGGTAGAATTCTCCTAAATCCCCAACGTCAACATTTTTTCCTGCTTTTTGTTCTAAAGACGTGAAATCCATAAAGTATATACATTTTATCAATTCGTACGGTACAGTATATAATTTAACACGATCAATCATTAGTCGTACCAGTAGCAAACTGCTGAACATCTCTTTTCCATGACACAACTGAGGCATCCAAATCAGCGTCTGATAAATTAATCTCACGTGCATACGTAGCAAGTTCCGTTTTCGCATCGGCGAGTTTCTTTTCCGTCTACAGAAAGGCATTGAAAGAAAGACTAAACGAATGCTGAAAAGAACAACGCATAAGCTCAAGTATGCAACGAGCACGTTTTACACCACCTCGCATTTAAAGCGAAAATATATACTGTAATTAACCTTTTTCAGGCGAAGAACCAACAGCTTAGGTAGATTACAAATTTTTCGCTTATTCCAACTCAATAGATGCTCAGTGATGCAATCCTCGCGACCTGTAAAAGGAATGTATGGAATGTCAATGTTATACCGTTCATCTCCATTAAGATGCAGTGATGCACAATTATATACTATATTAACCTGATGCTATCATATTCTTGGTGGTGGATCCAAGTCTGGAGAGATAGCTGTTGATTTGTTCAACTTCCTCCCCAGGAGTTGCAGCAGCACCTTCTTGCCATCTTCCACTCCAAATAACCTATGTTAAATGCAATGAAAATTTGCTACACATTATGTCATGCCCCAAAATTTATATTGACGTTCTGTCCAAAAAAACTCTTGCCAAATTGAAAGAGAAATTTTTAAACGTTTCAAACCAATACAAAGACCAGAACGAATAATTTAGACCTAGTAAAAATACCTGACAGTTCCAACTGTGCGATTTTCCATGCATGAGTGACAAGGCTGGTTTTGTATCAGTTAATGCCATCTTGTTTTGCTCTGAAGTGACTCGCTTAGCCCATGGCCAGTACTTACATATCACATCTTCCCACAAGAACCTAACATTGTTTGGATGAACAAAGTTTAAATGTAGATAGTGAGCATAACCATAAACTTCTCCTCTAAACATATTCAAGGCGGCTTGACAAACAGAATGTCTGCAGCCAGCCACTACCAATCCAGTTTCATCTTGGTTCTTCTTCGCTTTCGACACAGCTTTTGCAGCTTTCCAATGCGTATCACCACAAGAACTATCTTCTTTCTAAACAAAAAAAGATTCCACCTAAATTTACCTATGTGAAGAACGAAAAAGAACAAAAATATCGGCCAACGACCAGTATTTTATACTGTAACCTTACCATATCTTTCTTCGTGATTTTGGAATTCAAGCTTCTTATGTGAGAATCTACTTTCGCATTTTCGACAATCAGATGGTCATTGTAATAAGAAGGACTTGTACCCCTAAATATTCAAATTTCCTGGGTGACATATAGCCAGTTAGTTTTATAATGTACGTAGTCTTACAAATGTCATGTTAGGAAAATATAAATCACACAAGTACATGAACTATTAGGGTGTGGTACCTTGATACTTTATCATATCTATAAACCTTGTGGTTGCCATCAATATGACAAGAGTGTTGGTCAACACTGCATGGTGGGCATTTTCTCCAATCCTGAAGTTGTAGCGAAGCCAGTTCAAATTGACAATAGCACCACTCTGCAAAGGCCTTCCGAAATGTTGCTGCAGTTATCACATCTGCCTTTAATACAAAAAAAAGACATTTGTATGCTCTGACCCTACTGAGTGCTAATTAAATACCATCCAACATTTTATATGTACCCCATTGAATTTGTATGCACATGATTATCATCTTTTAGTGTGATCAGGCTATTTCTAATACATTCATAACTGCCATTATATACAGCACTCACCCTTTTTTTGGAACGAGACATGTCTTCCAAGCTTCTTATAAAAGCAGTTTGTGAGGAGCCTGGCATTTGCTTCCGGAAGGCATCCCAAAGAAGGAACAGCTCTTGATGAAACAAGTAGTTTACATTGGCAGGACTTCCTGGCCAAAAACCACTTTGAACTATACAGTCAAACGAAATTGGTGACCATTGCCAAGGACATGATGAACAGTGTATGTTAAACCAATTGAGGTCAAAACGACCTTAAATATGAAAAAAATCCATTAACTTTAACCGTTTACTTATACTCAATCTTAGCATATACTGTTAATGATTGACTGTGAATGTATAATTACATTATATTAATTATCTTAATATACACTCTACTGTATACTATAAACATCAGCACAGAAATAAAAAAAATAACAAAAAGAATTGGCACTAACATGTACGGCATTATTTTGTAATAAACTTATGACTAGGTTCAATTTTTGATAGCGTTAAAATACAATACCTTCAGATGTGATGAGTATAACTTTTGAGCTGTTCAATGTTTTCAAAGTAGATTCCCCGCACACCAAGCAAGATGTTGGGTAAAGAAGAGGACATGCACGACCTTAAATATAGTAAGAAAATTACAGCTTATCCCTTAGGTCCTTCCATTATAAATAAAAGCCTCTGAATTCCAAACTTCTCATTCAAATTTGGAAGTGCAGATTCCTGTATACCTCATATCCTTTTAAGTTATTTTATAGACAGTTGCTTGTAAACAGTTTGCAACCATATTGCACGGTACATTGCCTTTAAAAAATTATTAATTGAAAATAATTATTGACACATACCAACAGGAACAAGCTTTCCATCATCAGTTATTGACTCAGTTGGAAGAATGTATTGAAAATACCCATTAATCCAAACTTCACGATCATGAAGCGGCTGACACTGATGTACTTCTTCATCACAGTTGACACATAAATATTGAAAAACACCACACTGCTTACACCTCAATTGTGCATCATTGGGGCAATCAATTTTAGAGCAATGTAATGAGGAAGTGGGAGGGGCAAATGAACACAAAACACTGTGAAATATGGCTCCTCTAGCATTCTCCCAGTTTTCCTCAAGATTGTTTATTCGTTTTTGCCACACAGTGGTATTATCATTCATTTCACCAACAGCTTCCTCACACTGTTCAATGATTGCATCAAGGTCTATAAAATAATACATATACCATTTACAATTAATTCCAGTTGAAATGTTATTGTAGGTCACATACTGTTACTGTACAGTACCTTCAAACATGGAACACTCTAGGTTATTTAAGATGGTAGATCCAAAATTAATTTTACCTGTACCTTGCTCAAAAGTTTCAGAATGTTCATCTACTTTGTCAGTTAAGAGATCAACAGGTTCGTTCAATCTTGTGTATTCCACTATTTAGTTATAAAAGCTATACATTAAAGTGATTTAAAACTTGCATGCTTGTCTATTTAAATAAAATCGCAACTATATTACCTAGGAAAATTAATATCTTAAGGTAGACCACAAAAACCCATTAAACCACATCCTACAATCGCATACCCACATTATGTTTATACATAGGCTAATTTGTAATGATATTTCTAACCTCACTCTCTAGTTCCAATATGCTTTAATAACTTAAGGTAATAGTGAGATTAGCCATATATATGTTTATTTATTATTTATTTAAGGCAATACCACCCTAACCCACTGTAATTTTATAACTGATTTGAGGCTGATTTTAGTATAATGATTTGACTGTAGTGCAAGACTAATTATGGTAGTTGTAGTCCAAAACTAAACAGTAAAACCATTATACTTGTAAAATAAAATTCATACATCATTTTATTGGGCGAATATTTGGACGTATTTACAGCCTGGATTCCAGCAAAGCAGATGCAACATGCAGGCTTGGAAAAGGTTATCAAAAATTTGTATGGTTCGATCTACCTTCTAATATGAGAATATACAGTTAGAATATATAACTGCATAACACATGAACTGTGATTGAAGTGTTTACCTGACTCTGGATTGCTTTCGTTCACAGAGTCTGTCTCGACAAATCCTTCCTGTTTGCAGTGATATTGCTGCCTATTAATAAGTGGTGTAAAACAGTAAAAGTCAAAGCTTAAATAACCTACAAAACTCCACAACACAAAAACTTTATTGACATTTCCACGTTTACCTCGTCTTGCCCAACTAGATTGCGACAATCGTCTTGGGTTGTGATATATTCGCTGGCCAGATTCGTCTCTTCTCAGCACGATGTCAATATCTTTATTTTTACTTGAGTGGTCAGGTCGAGTCTTTCTACTTTTAGAAGACTCTGCACCTGTAATGGTGTTAATTTCATCAATTATCGAGTCTAGATGTTCATCTTCATTCTTTTTGCGTTTTCCAGCAGATTTACGAGACATGATAGCATAAAAATTAGGCGATATTCAAAGAATACAACATACTGTAAGAAATGCAATGTTGTGTTTAGTTAATTAACCTGCGAACAGGCGATTAGCGAACAGGCAGCGTAACCAGGCCTGGTAGATTGTAAAGCGTCCTTGAAATTGATTCTCACAGTCAATTTGCCCAGCAGAACACAATTAGTATATACAGTCAATTTTAGGAAGAGACTGGGTTGTTCAATTTGATATGTTAATAAGCGTATAATTACGTGTGCATCGGGTGATCAAGATACCATTGGCATGGATCTTTCCCTAATCCAAGTCAACATGATCTCATTCCAAAATTAAGCTTATATCTTAATTGTCAAAAGCCTCTCAAATTAAGGTATTGCCTTAATTTTTATCATGATAAACGCTGAACAGATTTCAGAGAGATATCGTGGGCACGACCCTGCTTGGAGTGGACGCCATTATAATAAATATCTGAGCTTCTTTTACAAATTTACATATTGAAATCGTTAATTAATATGGATGAGTCTGAAGAACAAACAGGTAGAAGCTGTGCATTTGTAAAGCCCCTTTTATATGATAACGACGCTTGATTATTGGGTATGATTCCGCCTTTATATACCGCAGTATATGATAATGAGAATAAATAATAATTGTCGTTTGTCGTAGGCCTTTATAATGTTCCAACTTTAAGACCATATTTAATTCTTTAATAGATAAAACAAAGGCGAATAATAACGGAAAGGCCAAAGCGCAAACAAGTGCACGTCTTGCTAAGGCTTTGGAAGAAGCCGAAAGCCTATTTTCAACGAATACACCCAGCGCCAACAAAATTCGAAAGAAGCCTCAGAAAAGCCACATTGAAATCAGAAGAGACAACGAGGGGAATAGAATTTACCACTGTCCAAGAAAAGGTTTTGTACAGTATTAACTATACTCTTATTTATTTATATTTTTTACTTTTCAGCTCCGCCTTTTACAATTTATCTTTTTGGTTGGCCAAACTTCATTGATTCAAGTAAGATATAATAAGTTTAGAGCTGCATTTCACATAACTATTAACCCATTGAGCCACATTGTGCTCAAATGTGCCCTACTTTAGTATTTACTCTAAATTGTCTAACGCCAGACAATTCTACTCGTCAAGGGGAGAGTACTGGCGCCTCCTGATGGGTTAATCAGCTTTTCACTTGTCATATTTTGTCGCTGAATGGTTTGGAAGCTATTTTGTGAATTGTGAGATGCCTGAAAAAGTGCATGTTTGCTAATTTAATTAAGGTACAGTAGCATGGAGAATTTTTCATTATTTTAAAAGGGTCAAGAAGGATGAAAGCTGTTGTGGAAAGCACCAGCATGGCAGATGATATGGATGACTTACCATCACCCACAGCAGAGGAACCCTCCAACAAGGAAATAAATTATCAAGGGATTACCCATTATCTAGCAATAAGCATGAATGTACCTACTCCATATCTTACTTTATCTAGCATTACATCATTTAAATTGTCAGTGGAAGATACTGCCATTTGATAAGTTTATAACACTACTATCTGCCAGTACAAGCAATGGACCTGAATTTGCCTTAACTTCCTTATTTTACCATTTTATGCCGTTTAATACCAGACAATTTTAGTTCTCTCAATAGAATAGTACTGCCAGTTAATGGTTTAGTTAACATTCTGTTATTCACTCATTCTCCAAGCCTAGATGGTTATGTAAGTCACATTTCTGCTTTCATTGTCATTTAAAATATTCCCAATTTCATTGATAAAATTTCAGAACAACTGGCTAGCATTCTTGATGATTGTGATGAAATATGTAGTGAAATGTATGGAGACTGCCAGGAACCAGAACCCATGTCTCAGTGGCAAAAGAGAACCAATCTAGTGATGCAAACTGGGAAAATTGGAGAGATAACCTGTTCTCATCTCTTCTTAACTCCTGTGTCATTCCTGAGGATGAATTTATATGTATGGCATGTGGTAATGAAACAGCTGTAGTTAAGTGCTCAGAATGCATTTCTCAGTATATGTGTCCCACCTGTGATGATACAGTGCACAGTGATAAGCCGTTGCATGATAGGCAAGAATGGCTTAATGGTTTTATCATTATCTGAAACCTACAGAAAGTGTGTCAAGAGAAGGAATATTATGGTAAAAGGTATTTGTAATAATAACAGCACTATTCTGATTTCTACAAATTGAACCATGGGCCTATAGAGTCAGTATAGCACCTTTTCTCATTGTCAAGAGACTTCATTTAGTTCATAATTGTTTTATAGCAGCCCCCCGTAACATAATTAATTGGTAGTACTTGGCAGGCTTCAATATCCTTATTAAAAGAATAATTATGTAGCTGGGTTACATTTGAGTGCATGTGCAGCTAGTATGGATTCATTGATTTAATTTACATAATTTTACTACAAAACACTACACAAACAAAAGAGTAAAAGTATTTACTTTTTTGTTGCAGAACGTTACTGTCCGTTGATTTGTGACACACAGTGTAGATCATGTGGTGAAGGGCAGTTAAGAAAATGTGTTGCAAAGGATAAGATAATTTTAGTTACCATGAAAGGTTTGTGTTTGTCCAAACTCTAGAACCAGCAAATCTTTATAAGTAAAGAGCATAAGTTGTAAAATGTCAAATTGGGACATCTTAAAATCTCAAAATGTGGATTATTGTAACATGTACCTGTAGTATATACTGTATCTCGAGTTTTCAATTAGGATTTTTTAATTTGTGGTTTGTACTTTATCTGTTATTTAAAGTTTGCTTTTATAAAGTGCTTTTTTGTTAGCTAATTTAGTTTATATACAGTCATAATTTTTAATTATCCTTGTTAGGTCGTTATGATTTGCACTGGTTCTCCCTTGTTTGTGAAGCTTGCAATGTTGTCCAACCATTGTCCCTGACAAGCATTATAAATAATGGTTATTGGCCGGGTTCCCCATGCCAAGTAAACTACCTCTTCGACCAAGAAGTGTTTAGAGTGTGGGAAACCTTCAAAATGCGAATGCCTGGATCATCAGAGTCTGCATTTATAAAAGCCTTGGAGGATATTTCTGCAGTGAAAGGCCAGGTAAGTTTAATGCATGGTGATAATAGTATAAGCTGTGCTGTATGGTAATGAAAAGAGCATAATTAACATACAGTTCATGTACAGCACACCCAAGTTTGATAAGTGTATGTGATAGCCATTAATTATGTAAGTATATGTTTTCTTTAATTGCCAGACAGGGATAATTAATGCATCCACATTCAGAAAGGCTGCAGCTGAATGGAGATACTGTCAGTATGAAGTAGATAAGTTGCAGGGTATAACCTACATTGATTGTCCTCCATGCTCTATGTCACAACATTCTGCACATGTGGATGGGAATCAGAAGCTTTATCGTTTTAAAAGTGTACCAAGGTGTGTCAATAATTCATACTATTTTGTACCCTGATCTATGTTTAATTTTTGGTTTTTATAAAGTGCATTGTAATCTTATAAATGCTGTTAAATCTGCCATCCTGCACAGAGCAATGTGTGAAAATTTCTAATTTTAAAAATGTTTCAATAATGTTTTGTAGAGGTAATAGAACTTCTTACTATGGGGATCTCTTCATTAAGAATAACACAGATGTTGATATGCAGATTGCTGAAGTATATAGCACTGGAAAGAAAGAGGTACTGTGCATCAATTAGCTATATTGCCATCACCATCACAAACAAATTTGGGAAAATGGCATTGTTCATAGCATGGGTTATAAAAGCACTGAAAATGGTTGTACAATCCATACTTATGTTTACTTAAACTATGTAATAGGATAATTTCTATGAATACAATACCGGTACCGGTGTGTGGTGTTCTAGGATGCAATAGTATTAACAGCACAGCATCATAGTGCTTACATATCAACTTAAAGTTTAAGAGGGGTGAAGGCATTAATTTTCCGATAAACATAAATTTTTAGGGATGATTTTTCCGAAAAAAAGTTTTCGGACATCAAATATTGCATTCTGTTTAGGTTGGAAGCAACGCCTGTGGAGATTCACACTGGAAAGCAGCTAAGGCCGTAAGTAAAAGCAAGAAAAAGCAAGATGAAACTGGTTTAGAGGTTGCTTGCTGTCGGCACAGTATTGCACAAGCAGCAGTTAATATGTTTCGAGGAGAAATATATGGATATGCACACTACTTGCATACTCAGTACCTTTTACCAAGGCATGTCAAATTTCTTTGGCAAGATGTGATTTGTCTGTACTGGCCATGGGCAGTGTCAAACACACCTCGTCGTCTTCTCAAGGCTCTTGATATGGCACCTGCACTATCTGTAATGCATGGTAAATCTCATTCTTGGAACTGCCAGGTATGTTGCAATTTAGTACTAAATGCCTCGAACGTATTGCCAAAAACGAAACTAAGCTGTTAACGGGAAAAGTGAAATTTCGTAAAATATTGTGAGTAATAAAATTATTCTATTTTCATTTATACTGTAAATATATATCAATTTTTAGTTCACATGGGGTGGCAGGTGGCAAGACGGCGCTGCAAATGGTACTGGAGAAGAAGCTGAGCAAGTCAACAGCTATATTTCTCGCCTTGGCTCTACTACGAAGCGGATGTCAGCAGCAGGTGGGTTTAGCAATCGGCTATCGTTTTTTTTGCACCAAAACACTCTGTGTAATAGTACTGTGTAATGGTGAACCGAAACAAATTTTTGTTTCTCCTTGAAATGCAATTACTGTACAGAATTTCGTTATATTGTAGGGCGTGAAGAAGCTCTTACGGAGCATGTTTTGGGATGGAATAAACGAAAGTCTTGAACATGCCTAAATACCTCAGGATGCGTTACGCTAAGGTTTATATTGTTATACTTATTTGGTATTGCTATTGTGTGTTGTTGACACTACGATTGGTTTAGAAGTTGAATGTCACAATGATTGAAAGTGTAATTTGACGAATACATAAGAGATTAGATTTGCCAGTTAGGGGTTACTTGTGAAGGAAGTACAGTACCGTACTGCCAATAGCACAATAGATTTTTTGTGGGTGGATCCCTGTGTGCGTT